CTGACAAGAAGCATGTCTTAGACTGACAAAGATATGCGTGAAGCAGATGTCAAAAGATGGAAATGATTGTAGTATGGAGCACTTCTTTTGTAAAATAGATGGGTTAATTCACCAGTCGCGAAAGCAAAGGACTGAGAAAAGCTTTCTTTGTGTATAGAGTGTTGGCAGGTGTCATGAAACTTCCACCAAACAAGGTTATTAATTCATGACCTATTTCCCTTACTGCCATTGCAGTAGTACCTTTTCCAGAAAGGACAGCCATTTCCAACAGGCAGACCTTCAAATTATGCACAGGGTAAGAAGTAAATGCAAATCTCCATCACAAATTTAAAAGCGAATAGTGCTTTTGACAACCCGATGCCTATCTTTCCAGGTTAAAGCTTTCCAGGTTCTGATGGATGGTTTCTGCAACCCTGAATTTACCTTAAAGTTTATGTTGCTTAAAGACTTGGTTGGCAACTTAAGGAAGAGGAACATACTTTTCTTTGAGAATGAATTGTATCTTTTACAGAGCTAGCATCAAAAAAGAAATTATGAGGGCAATGCCCACATGCTGACGTATAAAACCATTCCAAAAGTCCTGTATTTTTGCAACCAAGAAGTCTGGAGGAAGTCTCATTGCAGATGGCTGACTTTAAATATGTAGGTGTCCTGTTTCAAAGGCTCTCATGACTTTTGACCTCATATTCTTGTATTAAGTCGAGCAATCAATGCAAAACATATCTGGACAGATTCATCCCTCAAAAACAGAATCCCGCCGTGCCTTAACATCTATCATTGACCTATGTTAAGGGAATTTTGGCAAATTGTTCTATCTTGTTCTATCAGCTTTTACGCTGTGCTGTTCCGGGTGTTATTTATCGTATATTCACTGACTTCTTTTCGAAGTCTTTGGTCTTAGTTGTGATTTTCCCGAGCATTGGTTTATTTGTGCCTTATAATACTAAGTCTTTTACCTGATTTTCCCTTTTTGTGTGGGAAAACTTAATCTTGCCTATTGCTTTTAACAAACGTATAACTTGTTATAGCATGCTTCTTAGCAAAATTAACTTCTTTCCTAGGTATACCTCACTATTTTAAACCTTAATTTTTATTTTGACTCATTTTTTTCCTGAAGTATAAATTATTTTCCTTGGTTAGCTGCATCTTTGTAAACTATCTCAAATCATTTCAGACCAAGGTGGGATGTAGCTTAATAATATTAAGATTTATACCTTTAAATAAAATCCAAGTCACTTTGCAATCTAAATCCAATTTACTTCTCAAATGTTAATTCTAAGAACATCTTTACATATCACCAGCTGTAATCAGTTTTGTCACCTCCATGTCCCCAAACAAACTAGGTTTATTTTCATTTACCACCCCCCCCACTGAAAATGTCTGCTTCTTTCACCTCTGTCTAAATATTAACTATCTTTCCAGATCCATTTCTTATTCCACCTCATCACAATGTTTTCTTAACTATGAACTTGTGGCATTTATTTACTTAACCATTTGTCTGGATCTTGACTTTGTTCTTTCTACTGATAATTCTTGCATTGCTTGACATGTCATGTACCTTCTTAATATATTTGGTACTAAGATCTTGGCTTTTACGTAGACAATGAGTTCCTAAAAGTGAGGAGCTGGGTCTTAACTAATACCCCTAATATTTTGCATTCTGGTGCCTTTATTGAAAGCATAAACACTTACAAAATAATAAATCAATTTATGTGATGAAATAAAAGTATTAACTTAGATTGAGTGGCCAAAGCAAATTTTAATACTGCATCATAAGTTCACTGAAAACCCTACGGTATTTACAGTTGTTACAATACCTAAGATTTCCTTGTACTAAGCACTAAGTTGGGTCTTAAACAGAATTTCCAAGCTTGTTCTTTATATTTTGTTATTCCATTCCATCTCTTTGTAAAACTTGGGATGGCTGTGTGCACTCTGAGTTTTTTTCTGGAGTGAAGAAACTTATGCAGGAATCCTATCTGAATTCAGCAGTGATATTAAGGTTTACACTGAACAAAAGGTCAATCTGTTGATCTGTGACAATTTACTAGGGTTTGTGGTTTGGTGACATTGAGAGATGAGTCATTATGATTCTCCTGGATGATGACCAATGGTGAAGTCAACAAGGTTCAGACTAGGCAAACCAAGTGAAGCAGTTGTTTTCCAAACAATGTATTCTTATACCTTACCCAGGAGGTAGAATAAAGTATAGGGCAAATTTGGAAGCTCAGAAAGGCACAAAGATAATTTTGCTGCCATTCTGAATGACTGCCATCTTCTTGCATGCTGTGACAATTTTCTATTCCAAAACATAGTTCACTAAACATTCAAACTGTGTTCCTTAAGGGGTTTTGTTTTTGAAGTTTTCTTTTTTTTTTTTCTTTTCTTTCTTATTTTCAGAGTAGATAGTAGCATGCTGTTGATAAAACACTTGAACTCCTGCTGTTAAAATTGTTAGGTTCTGTTCAGAGGAGTGAAATAATGGTCTGCCGTTTGTTCCCAGGTACTGAGACTGCTGCTGAAATGCACCAATAAGTGCTGTAATGTGGGTAGAGAACAGTTCTTTGGAAGGCTTAAGGCAGCGCGGAACGGGGGTGTCTCACCTCTTTCCTTGTGAGAGGTTGAACTGTTTGTTTCCCCTGCTTGGACTTCCATCCCTCAAAAATTCTTATGTACTAACACATGGATCACTAGAGGGCTGTGGTTTGTTTTTCTTTTAAATTTTCTTTCTTTGTTTCCCCCACCCCAAAGCAACCCCAAACTTGCACTGTTGAAGACAAGGTAACTCCCAAGGTTGCTAGATCAGACTTTGTCATTGAGGAGAGTTCAAAGTGCTTTAATCTGTCATTTATTTAATACAGATATTCCCAATGATCAGTGTTCAAAGTGTTTTATTTTTGCTTCAGAGAAGTTTCACTAAACCTCTTTCTTGACTTTTTAACTTACATTTTGAGAACAAGTTCTTCTCAACACCAAAGAAAACTTACCTAATGTCATAAGTTTTTATCAATTCATTTTAACAAGATGATTTGATTCTATACTCTGAGTTTATTGGACCCAGGGGTAGATTATCTGCTCTAAGCAGACTCTGCACCTTCACACATGCCCACTCTCTAGAACACGTCCACAGTTTACAGCACAATCTTTTAAGATAATAGTTGTTTTCCATCTGGTACATGTTCCCAAACTATCCACTACCGTTACTAATTTTTTTGTTATTGTTGACAAAATTATCCTCTTGTGGGTAACATCTCATTTCACAGGTCCAAGGATATTCCTCATCTCTTTATGATAACTTTTTTCACTCAGTCATCGTGTATCTATTAGGCACCTAGGACTTGGTAATACTTCTGTTGTCTCAATGTTATACATTTGAATTAAACACAATTCTCTAAGGGGGAAGGTATAGCTCATGCAGTAGAGCACATGCTTAGCATTCACAAGGTCCTGGGTTCAATCCCCAGTACTTCCTCTAAAAATAAATAAACCTAATTACCTCTCCCACCAAAAATAAACAAACAAACAGTAAACACAATTCTTGCTTCCAATAAGTTAACAACATGGGCTATAAAGTCACAAATGCCAGGAGACCACTGCTGTGTCCTGCATGCTGTGAGCACGGTATTCTATGTGTTCCGTAAAGGGTTAATGATTGTGTGTTTATTTGCGTAGCATGTAGGGCTAGGCCCTATACATATTTCATATCTCTGGGTACATTTGAAAGAAAACAAGAGATAAATATCACTGTAACATATTATAAATATTATATGGAATAAAATTTTGGTGCTGTATTGCTGGTCAATTTCTGCTCTAGTTGATTGGGTTGAATTGAAATCAAAATTTCAAAGACCAAGGTTAGGGAGCTACTTTACTCTGCTTATATCAGTCATAAATACTGTCTCTCTCAATAGACAAATACTCTAATAAGAAATAAGTTTCCTGGTGTTGGTAGAAAATGTGGCCACTTTTTATATCTTTGGAGGCCTAAGAGTTGGGAGTAGAGAACTTGATTCTAAATGTCAATTCCAAGAAGAGATTATATACAGTCTTTTTAAAGTGCTTATGTTGGTGCAAATCCCCATGAATATGATCTATTTATGAGTGAAAGAAATCCTCTTCGAGCATTTCTTACAATGATGCTTTTCCACTTAAAGATTACCCATCTTTTTTTAATCTTTGTTGCTTATTGCGTAGTGAGATTGCCCTTCTCTGTGGTTTACTTTTCCCCAAGTGCTCTTATTTTAAAGACATAAGAATGAGACTGCAGATGAGAATAGAGTTGATATTGAAACTGCAAAGACAAAAATACCCCAGGTTTTATTGTAACCTTGAAAGCGCATTTTAAACCCTGGACACATGTAAGAATAAAAAGTTCACACTCACACCTGTCAAGACATTTGTAGTTAAGGATTATCTATTGTTAATGTTTCCTAATTAGCCATTACTTGCTAACAGTTATGTGTTAATAAGAGAGACCTAAATCTTTTATCATGTGTCTCTTTACTGGGCTTTATGACTTCCAAAGATGAGGCTGCCAGAACACCTGCTCAGACAGACAGAAAGGCAGCACTTGGTTTAGGAAATTGGTGCTCATCTGGACGTTAAGCGTCCCTTCTCCCCATTTTGGCGTTTTTCTCTTTAAAGACACAGGGTGAGTTGATCTGAGAGCTAGAGAATATTAAGGAGAAAAAATTTAAGAGAAAGTTTTAAACTCTCCTTGCCCCAAAAAACTACTTAGAAGAAAAAATTTCTTTCCCATTCCTGTTCCAGAATGATTTTTCTTCAGTTGCCTTTTAAACACAGATTCTTCATGTCTCAAAATCACATTCTAGCATGATGATTTAGATGAATGTCTCGGTAGAATGGTGTTTGTGGTACCTGCATTGAGGGTTCTCAGAAGCGCCAGACAGCATTACTAGAGTAATGGCCAGAATGAGTCACTGCAAATTGTGTCCACTGACTGTGTACAGTGATGGTACAATTCTCTGCAATTATACCAGGTCCATTTTCAGAAGCAAATTTTCTACTTTTTGGCAAAAAGACTGCCTCCTGAAGTCCAGCCCACTTTGGGGTGTGGAGCGATAGCCCATGTGGTAAGAGTAAGCGGACTGCCTTGCCCACTTTGCTTCCTTGGTCCATGTGCCTCTCCTTCAGGAGCTTCTCAAAGTGAGTGCCTGGATCACCATGAGATGTTAGTATTCCTGGTACATTCTGGTATCTTATCTAGACTCCTTAGGAAAATAAGATTTCTCATCAAAACCTCAGTGTGTCTGTCTCTGGAAAACTGTACGTGATTACACTAGAGCTAAAATGTTGTAAATAAAACCATAATAGCATGTTTTATTCTTTCCATTGTGCCTTTCCACTTACCAAACATTTTAGCATACATTTTAAAATTGGTCCTCCCAAGTATTTCATTAGCTAAATAGGGATGCATTATTTATACCCATTTCTCAGATGACAGTAGAGGTTGTGACAAGTATAAAATCATAAAAGTTCTAAGCAAAACGGCTGACACTGGCACGTAGTAGAGAGGCTTTTTATGATACAGACTGAATCTAACAATTAGCCCCACGAGGATGGATGGGCAGTTTGTATCAAATTGTTTTTAATCTACCCAAAAATCTCCATCAGTAGCAGCTGAAAATGAGTGTCAATGGAAAGAAGGTGAGCTTCATCTCATTTCCCTGAGTCTGCAAGAAGCTGCTTTTTATGGTGGGATTATGAAACCTGCAGCTCCTGAACAAATACTTGAATGCTATTGATTTCGAGATAAAGGAAACAAGAAGAGGACTTTGTATAAGATGAGACAGGAAGATGCTTGTATAACACTTTATATGCCAAAACCAAAAACAAAACCCAAAAGACTTAGAAGAGAATGAACGAAAAAATGAAAAGTAATACTAGGCAGATGTTTAACCTATCAGAACTGTAATGTGATTAGTGGGTAAAAATGGTCCCATCTTTACTCAGAGCTTATTCCTGCAGACTGTAGGGTAATCAGGACAGCCAGGACGAATAAACCTCATACACTGGGTCACGCACTCCAGAGCCTCTGTGGCATCAGGTAACAGGAACTAAGTGATGTTCCATCAGCCTCTGGGGAAGAGCATGTGAGAGGAAGCGGGACGAAAAATGAGGTCCTGAAAATCACTCAGAGTCTCTTAAGTTTCTTATGTAGAAGAAACCTTGCTACACAGTGGACACAGTCTCTTGAGGGAGCTTTGAGTCTCTGCTAACACTCAGGCTTTTCTTACTGGCTTGGTCATCACTGGCTTCCCAGGATAGGGTGTCCCCTTGATTAGAGTCAGCATCCTGGATAGAGAAAGGATGCTAATAGATTTTGCTGCTTCCTATAGTTTGGCTCTAAAGAGAACAAAAAGGAGTACTTTAGAATTTTAAAAAATAAACTTTATTCTTGTGATTTTTGTTATTCCCCTTAAAACAGGCAGATTATAAAAATAGATTCAAAAAATTAACAGCTAAATTTATGTTAGGTGCATAATGATTGTTAAGGGAATTTAGACATGTTTGGAAGTTTTGGGAAGTTGACTTAATTAAGAGCAGCTATCATGGTACCTCCCCAAATCTCCTAGATACCAAGGGCAGAAATGCTGAATTGGGCTGGATGGAGCCTTTACTTGCTATAAGGAAAATGGGAGGAAAGTTAACAAGATAAATCAGGAAAAAAAGGAAGAAAATAAATACTCACTGAGCATAACATGCAATAGGGCCTAGTGTTATGCTGTAGCCAGCTGCTCACCTGAGAGAGCCCATTGTTCAATTTTCAAGACTTTTTCAAAGTCAGTTGTTAAAAACATCCATTATTAAAAATTAAATTGTATAAACCTATGCTTAAATAAAATATCAAAAAATAATAAACACTCAAAGCTCAATCACTTATAAATTACTTTTCTACATTTTAGTATCATTTATGCTCTTAGGTTATTCATATCTATTGTATCTGTGTGGTGGAAATCCTGTCTAACAATGTGCTACTACATGTCCTTTCTCAGCTCTGCATTCAGTGACATCATATTAGTGGCTAAAATCAGCCATAGTATTGATTTATTGTTTTGTTGATGGTCTAATCTTCAGAAATGTTAATAATGCAAATTAAAATGGAAAGGGTGTCGTGCAGTTACATTATGAGCAGTATACAATTAAGGAAATATTCATTTATCATTTGAAAACTATTATCTGATTTAGCAAAGATGTGATTCACATCACTGATGAGCAAATGAGGTTCTGACACATATCTCGGTTGTTCCACTTTCCTCCTAACTTGTCAGAGTAAACAAAACCATCAACCAGCATGCATGTCACAGGTCAGATTTGCTGATGTTACATTTATTGGAGAAAGAGATGGCAGATTGGAATCCAACTCCATTTGCCAAATCCTGGTTGAATTGTAGCCATAATTTGGCTACCGGTACAAAAGTTTGAAAGATACCAGCAGAAGCATTGTTAGAACAATTGGTTATGTAGACTTCACAATAGTAAGTATTGTGTGTTTTGTTATTATTTGTTAATTGTGTGCTAACATTCTTTATTTCAGTAAGACTTGGAGTAAACTTATGTACATACACACATGCATACTTTTTTCCCTCAGAGAGCCTGTGGTTTAATATTTGTCAGCATATTACTGGTAAATATCGAAAATTTCTCTTATTCTCTTATTTAATTCTGCAACAATTCCTTGAAGTAGGTATTATCCATACTTGGTGAGAATGGAAAATGAGACTCAGAAGAGTTTGGAAACAGAACCGGTGACACACAGCTGCCACAGAATGTAGTCAATTTTCAAGGATTTTTCAAAGTCAGTGGTTTAAAACATCCATTATTAAATATTAAATTATATAGATCTCCACATAAATAAAATATTAAAAACAAAGATAATAAGCACTCAAAACTTAATCGCTTCCGAATTATGTTTTTACATTTTACTATTACTTATGCTCTTGAGGTTGATCATATCTGTTGTATCTGTGCAGTGGAAATCATATGGGGTGAGGTCTCAGGTATTTCCTGGCCAGGCCTGGGTTTTTGTATTGATGCCACTCTGACACTGACATTTACTAGATAATAACCTCAATTAAGTCACTTCCTCTGAATTCTGGCCTCAGTATCCTCTTCCATGAAAGGTGAATGATACTATCTCTTCTTTCATCCTCAGAATCATCGTGAGGATCAGATGTGAAAACTAATTTGTAAACTTAAGGTGCTAAAGTAATACATAATTATTTACTTAAGAGCTAGATATTTGAGAGAGCATTTTGCTTACAGAGCTTTATTATTTTGATTCTGACTCGGTCTCCTTGAAAAATGAACTTTTCCTTACACTACCTGAAAAACAGAATGCGCATTTCATTTTCTCTTGGAAACAATTTCTGGTATAAATTGCTAGATATTTCCCTGCTCTGGGATTCTTTGCAAATCTCCAACATCTTTTTGTTTAAGCACTGTTAATTTTTTCCAGTAATAGACTGATGGTTTCTTAAAGTGTTTGGCAACTCTGTATGCCCAAGTTTTTATCAGCCTAGAGCCATCCCTGAGGGTAGCATGTGAACAGCAGATTCTGGGGAAGCAGCCAAAAGTTAAAACCAATGCATAAGTGGAAAGAAAGAAAAACAAATTATTTTTTGTTTTGAAAAGCAGTAAAGTCGTTTGCCTGAGAGTATTGTTATTAATAACCTTGGATAATTTAAAGTTATTGGAGAATGTAAGTGATTTTAATGCTTTCTGATACCTAGGTATTAAATTGCTATATGGATAATAGATAATTTTGCTCTACATATCTGTCTCTCAATGCCAAAGCACTTACAAGTGATGACATTTTCTCCTGCAATTTTGAGTGTTTATAGGCCTTGATTCTGCTAGGTAATTATAAAATCCACCATGGCAATAAGGCTCACTGCATGAGCTAATGCCATGGTATGGAATTAATCAAACCTAAATGAAAAGGTCATTAGAAAGTTAAATTATTTCACTGATACCGGAGTAGCACCACATAAGCGAGAGTTATACTCCATTTTGATATAATAGATCCTGAAATTCGGTCATTAGTTTCACCTCACCAAGCCTCTCTAATTATTGATGTGGTTAATTACTTAAGCCCATTGACTACTGTTTAGTATTGTGTTCCTTAAACTTTTGGTTCTTTGAAAAAAAGTACTTATGCTTACCTTAATTATCTCCTATGAGTTATTTAGTAAAAGTACAGATGATCTAATAAAACACTAACAGCTCTTTATTAAACGTTTGCCATATAGGGGAGTGTGCATAGGTGTAAAGGGAAACTGTTCTTTTCATGGTCAAATAGGTAGATTTCCTAATACATTAGAATGGTGTTCACTTCCTCAGGGGAGCCTTAATGATCTCCTCTGCCACTGCCCCTGACCAGAGCAGACCGGATTAAGCCTCTATGTAAAAATGAGCTTTAAGGAATTCTGGATAATTTGAGGCAGAGAAATGGTGCGGGGTCACACAGCTGCTGAATGTCCACTTTCTCTGGCAGGTTAATGTAGTCCGCTGATGTAAATCTGTATTAGTTAAGATAGGTTACGTTATGTTGCACTAATGTAGCTTCCCATCATTTTACTGAAGACAGCAGAGATTTATTTCTTGCCTATGCCACATGTGCCCTGTGAGTTAGCTCACTCTCTGCTACACATCTTCTCTGTTGCAGCTAAAGGCTGACAGAGGCTTCATCTTAACTTCCAGGATCTTCATGGTAGGGTGGAAGAGCACATGCTGGATTATATACTTTGCATTTTCCCCAGAAGCACGATTTTACCATGTGCTCCAAAGAAACAGGACCAGAATATTTGTGTCCAGGGTAATGCACAAAGGACTTCAGTGGAGGGAACAAGAAATAGAGCAGGTCTCAAGAAACTCTGTTGCTGCTGCTCCTTCTCTAAGTGTGTGGTTACTTCGTTTCAGTTAAAATTCAATAACCTTTGAGCAGTACTAGATGAATTCAACCGAGAATTTTGGGTGATGTATTTGCTCTTTTATTTCTGTGTAATCTGTGATCCATCTGAGATGCTGCAGTCCTCCTGTTACTATCTCACTGAATCCTGAAGTTCTCATATAGAATTGATCAAAAGCAAACATTTAGTTATTTAAATAATTATTGTCCTACGTACAACAAGAGAAGGAACTTAATTATTGTCTTTCTGCAGCATCTCACTCAGAGCCAAGCTCAGAGTGGTTGCAAAATAAATGTAGGCTGTGTGAACAAATGAATGAATAAGAAAATTAAATTTCCAGCTAAATAGAAGGGGATAGTCAGTTGGAAATATTTAATACCTATTTCTATTTTATTTCTGTTCTTATCTTTGTTATTTCTCCCTTCTGCATTCTTTGGGCATAAGTTTTTCAGTTGCATTTTTGTTTTCAGTTTCTTAGAGTGGGAGCTCAGTTCTATTTACACCTTTCTTTGATAATATAAACATTTAAGCATTTAAAGTTATATGTTTCCCTCTACTCACTATGTTTGCTGCTCTCCACAAATTTAGATATGTTGTAGTTTCATTATCATTGAGTTCAAAATATTTTCTGATTTCTATTGTAATTTGTTCTTTGATTCACATGTTATTTAGAAATGTTTATTTAATATGCAAATATTTGAGGATTTTTTGCATATCTTATTGCAAATGAGTATAATTTAATATCATTATTTCATAATTAATGATGACTCACCTTCTGTTGAGCATATGGTATCTTTGTGAATGTTTCTTGTGCAGTTGAAATAGATGTGTATTGTTTATTTGTTATTGTGTTCCATAATTTGCAATTAGTCAAGTTGATTGATAGTGTTGTTCAGACCTTTTATCTCTTTACTGACTTTTTTCTACTTGCTCTATCAATTAATGAAATATGGGTATTGAAATCTCCAAATGTGAGTGTATTTTTCTTTTTTAAATTCTGCTTTTAATATTTGTTCATAAGAACTTAATTATTTATTATGGTGTTACTTGCAAAATGGTAACATTTTTCCATTTCTTTTATTCTGTAAGGAAGATCTCTCCCTCATACATAGTCTCTTGATTTTCTTAAAAAGTATCTCTCTAGTTGTACTGATTCATTTTTTTGTCAATATGTTATAAGCCATGATTATTATTTTTTAATGGTTAATTTGTCCTAAATTTTACCAGGGAAAGTCCTTTCAGGTAATCTCCTGTATCCTTTTAATGTGTTCTTTTTACTGTATGAACATACCTTTGATTTCTGATGCAACAAAATGTTTCAGGCTCACCTTTTACTATCTCAGTGTCAAACCTCTTTTAGTTGGAAGTGACATTTGAAAAGCAACATCTGGGCATTATATGTACCAATTGCTTTGGGTGACTTTTCTTATAAGCCCTTCAAGGAAAGAGTTACATATTTTTAAGCAATAATTAGTTCATACTGATACCTCTAATTCAAATCCAACACAAGGCTCATCCTCACATTTTACTATTCCATATTTGTATTTCCTTATCTCAGTGCATATTAATAACTACAGCTAAAAATCAAAGAGAAGAAATAAATGGGATATTAACTATAATTTGAATAACCCAAAAGAGGAAAGGAAAGGAAAGAAAGAGTTAAACTCATATGGCATAAATAGAAGATAAATAGCAAAATGTTAAACATAAGTTCAACCATATACATACCTATTTTCAATTAAAATTAAAAAAAAAAGCACTGCAATTAGTAGACAGAGATTACCAGGATAATAAAAGCATAGTCAAGCTATATACCATCGACAGGAGACATACATTAAACATAAGGACAAGGTAGGTTGAAAGTCGTTGGATGACAAATTACATATTACACTAAAAGTAAACATGAAAAAGCTGATGTATATATATTAATATCAGACAGGGTAGACTTCAGTACAGAGAGTATTGTTAAGAGTAAACAAGTATTTCATAATGATAAAAGGATTATCTTATCAGCAAGGCAGAATGTCAAAGTACTTAATAAAAGGGATTCAAAATACTAGAAGCAAAAACAGACAGACTCAAAGGGAAAAATAGACACATTATAATAATGTTTGGAAACGTTTAATTCCCCTCTTTCAGTAGTTGAGAGAACAAATAGACAAAAAATCAGAAAGCATAAAAGGTGTGAACAACAATGTCAACCAAATTGATGTACTTGATACTTAGAGAAAACTGCACCCAACAACAGAATGAGGAATGCTCATCAGTGCAGGCAAATGACACTTATGGGCCATATTAAGTAAATCTCATTAGTTTAAAAAGATTGAAGTCACACAGGATATGTTGGCTTGCCACAATCTAATTAAGTTAGAAATTGATAAGCAAAATATATACAACTCCTCTAAAGTTTGAGGGGGAAAAATAATGCAGTTCTAAACAACCTTTAAGTTAATGTCGATATCAAAAGAGAAAATAGGAAATATTGAGAAGTGAATGAGAATTAAAAGGCAATATATCAACATCTATGAGCTATTGCTACAGGATACTCTATAGAAAAGTTATAGCTTGAACTATTTTTAGTAGAATAGAAAAAAGTTAAAATAAATGTTCTAAACAAGCTACGACCTTAAGAAAACAGAGAAAATAAGGAGAAGCAAAGAAAAAATAGTAAGAGAATATCCACCTGGTGGAAAATGAACAAAAAATAGGAAAAATTAAAGTATTCAAAATTGGCTCTTTGAAAAGATTAACAAAATTGATCATCTTTAAGAAGACTGATCAAAAAATAAAGACAAAATAAATTTCCCATATTAGGAATGAAAGGAGGATGTCAGTGTAAATTGTACAGATACTAAAAAGATAATAAAGAATGATACACCAATATAAATTTGACTCCTTGTATGAACTAAATCTTCAAAAATCACACAAACTAAAACTAATCAAGAAGAAGTAAAAAAAAAAATCCTGGGTAGCCATGTATCAATTATAATAATTAGATACGTATTTTAAAGATTTCAGACAAATAATTTTGGCTTCACTGATACACTCTAACAAATATTTAATGAAGAAAGAGCAACAGTATTGCACATGTTCTTTCAGAAAATAAAGGAAGGAAAGATTATTTCTCTGATTGTTATGTACTCAAGATATTAGTGATATCAAAACGTAGCAATGCCATTATAAGAAAGGAGATTTATAGAACAATATACCTTATAAACAGACAAAACATTTGTTAAGTAAGTATATCAAATGAATCTAGCAATATATAGCAAAAGATAAAAAATTTATACTATGGCCAACTCGGTTTTATCTCAAGAATTTAAAGTTAGTTTATTATTCAAAAATAAATGACTCTAATGGAATTCTTCTAAACATACAAAAAAGAACAAACTATTGCTATGTACAACAGCAACAGCATGTATGAACCACCAATTCATTATGCTAAATTAAGGATCCCAACAGTAAAATGCTATATACTGTATACTTTCATTTACTTGGCATTTTAGAAAAAACAGTAATAGAGGAAGACAGAACAGATCAGTGTTGTGAATACAAATGAAATATATTAGATATTCTTTGGGATACAGGAATGTTTCTGTATCTCACTCTGGTTGTGGTTATAAGAATATATGAACATGTATATGTATATGTATGACTGAAATATTATTCTGTACACCAGAAAATGACACAACATTGTAAACTGACTATACGTGATTAAAACATTGTTCTAAGTGAAAGAAAGAATATATGCACATGTGAAAACTCACTGAACTTTACACCAAAAAAGTGACTTTTACTCTATGTAAACTAGAACAAATTTAAAAAGTCTTGTTTTTTTATATTAGTAGAAAAAGCAGATAAACTGTCATTGTAATAAAATTCAGATGCATTTGACAAAAGTCAATATTCCTTTATGACAAAATATCCTAGCAAGTTAGGAGTAGAAAAAAACTTTCTTACTATAATAAAAGGTGTTTGCAACAAACCTACAGATAACATCATACTTACTGATGAAATAATGAACATTTTCTCTCTAAGACTGAGAGTAAGATACTTACCTCCACTTCCACTATGTCTATTCTATATTGTAATAGGCAACAAGGCCAAAGAGCCTCCCAAATCCAGAGGCAGGATGTGGTACTGGAAAGCAAAGTGTGTTCTCAGCCATCTAAAAACCTAAAAGCCAGGGTGTAAAGCAGGGGGAGTTCTGAAGTACTATTCTGGAAGCTAGCACCTTATTTAAGAAGAACAAGCAAATGCAGAATCTTGATAGAGTTCACATCAGAGATATT